CACCGAGGCCCAAAACTGCTGAGCAAACGGGCAGGCGAAGACGAGATGATCCACAGACTCCAGCAGGGACGGGTAGATCACTACTAGAAAAACCGCTACTAATGGCGCACCTAATTTGGCCATTAATGGCGCATCACTGGTGCGTCATTACTAGCACGCCATTAGTAATTTTTACTAATGGCGCACCACTGGTGCGCCATTAGTATCTGGTATACTAATGGCGCACCACTGGTGCGCCATTAGTATAGGCCACGGTGTGCCATTAGTATGCCTCCCAGGGGCCATGTATATCCAGGTGCTTTGGCATACTAATGACACACGACAACGGGATGCGCCATTAGTAACTTGGGCATACTAATGACGCATTGTTTAGTGATGCGCCATTAGTGATGCGCCATTTTGAATCTAGATCTGAATCGTGATTTTTTGCCCATTTTTTGCTCGTTTTTTTTGCTTGTTTTTTGGCACGACATTATTTCAAATTTTGTTCCTGTTTTTGGATCTTGTACGTTCTTTTGCCGTGGTCTTTTGCCGGAGAGGAGTTCGCCGGAGAGGAGTTCGCCGGAGAGGAGGAGGAGGAGGTCACCAGAGAGGCGCTCGCCTACATCGCCGGAGAGGAGGAGGAGGAGGTCGCTGGAGAGGAGTTCACCGGAGCATCGGAGAGGAGGAAGGAGAAACCATGAGGGGATGGGAGGAGAGGAGGGAGGAGGAGCTCACCGGAGAGGAGGGAGGAGGAGCTCACCGGAGAGGAGGGAGAAGAAACCGTGAGGGGAGGGGAGAGGAGGAGGGAGGAGGAGGTCGCCAGAGAGGAGGAGGAGGTCACCGGAGAGGAGAAGTATGGTGGAGAAGAGAAGGGAAGATGGAGTGGAGGAGAGGAGGAGACGGAGTGTAGGAGAGGTGGAATGAAGAGATAAGGAGGAGAGGACCACGACCAGCCATATATACGGCATACTAATGGCACACCGCGGGCAGGTGCACCATTAGTAATTTTTTTTATTTTTTTGATTTATTTGAATTTTGAAGGCGGGAAGATACTAATGGCGCACCATGGGCAGGTGCGCCATTAGTAATTTTATTTTATTTTATTGACTTATTTTGAATTTTGAAGGAGGGAAGATACTAATGGCGCACCATTGGCAGGTGCGCCATTAGTAATTTTTTTTTATTTTTTTGACTTATTTTGAATTTTGAAGGCGGGAAGATAGTAATGGCGCACCATGGGTAGGTGCGCCATTAGTAAGTTTGATTTTTTTTGCCTCTCCAGATCTAAAAGCCCCGTATCTTTTTTTCTGTTAGGTTTTTGAGGATTTTGAAAATGTTTAACGGGGTTCCCCCGTTAAATTTGGATGTAACTTTTCGAGTAGATGATTTTTTATATAAAAAACTTTTTCATCCGAGTTAGTATGCAAAAGTTATGCCCATTTTTACAAATTCTCGCGAGATTTTGCAAATGAAGTCAAAATTCATATTTGCAAATTTTCCCAACAACTAGGCCACATATCACATGGGAAACTTATTTTCTTTTATTTTTTTGACATTTTCATCATTTTC